GAGCGTGGGGTCTGAAGTTGAAAACATCGTACTGAGTGGGGTAAAAGAAACAGCATAATGCGACCCTTTAAACGGGAGAAGAATGGCACGATTCAGTAATTAAAAAAAAAAACAAGGGCAAATAGCATGGAAGCAACCTCTATAGGTACTATTACCTCTACACTAAATATAACCTTGGCCCCAGCCCAAACTTAACCCTTTGAGCCCTGGCCTCCCTGACCTAATTTCTCCTATTTCCTGAGCTCCCAGGCCCAAACCGATTTTCACTTATCTGCTTCTAACTTTGCCTATAACTTTTGAACCGTTTGAGATAATCAAGCCAAATTTGGTATCCAGACTCAGGATCAAACAACAATGCAGCAAGATTCTGAAATTCTTTTCTTTTTTTACAATGTTTGAACAGAACAATGTATATAAAACGAACACATAATTATTGTTTTGATAGAACATAGAAGAAGCCAATTTACATTTAGTAATTGTTTTGTTATTATTGATACCTGGCCATACTAGCTCATCGCCAAAAGCCCACTTTTGTGTGATAACTTTCAAAACAGTTATCACTGCCGGACCCGATGCAAAGGAAAACTTCGCATGTTTTGCACTAGTAAACTTTTTTTTTCGTTTCGGCAAGTCTTTGTCCTTGACACCACGTGCATCAGAACGTACTTGAACAGATTCATTGTCACTGTCAATTTCAATGTCACTGTGTTCAGTCTCAAATTCAACGTCACTATCATCACAATATAGACCAGGAATATTATCTTCTTCATCAGAATCAATAAGTAGTTGTATTGCCTGAGATGCAGTTATTCTACTTCTTTTGTTGATATTTCGGTCTTTTGCTTCATCTTTTGCACCAACTTTATGTGCTGAAGTCGATGGCTGTGGCTCAGCTTTTCGTTTCGGCGGCATTGCTACGAAATGTAAACACTTTCACTTTTCCTAAAATCTATTTTTAGAATCATAATCACGCACTAAAAAGACATATGCGCAGTTTTAGTCAGTCTTCCGCTAATTATATTTAATTAGATGGTATACCGGCCGCTAGGAATATGACGCTAGATCATCGGGCCGGAAAACCGGCTTTTCGGACATATATGCCTAATGTTGAAGCCGGTTTACCGGCCTGGCGGGCTCAAAGGGTTAATTAGTCCAGATCTTAGTCATAATCATTGCCCTATCACAGGCACTTCTGATTCACACCGTAACAATCATACCCGTTTTAAAATAATGTTAGCTATGCATTATAAAATCATGTTAGCTATTGCACTGTGCAAACGGTGATGTGGTTTCATATTTAAAACAAAAAGTACAACGATACTTTAATTACCATTTAAGGACTAAATACCAAGTTTAACAATGTAGTAGCTTACTGAGCCAGCTCCGAGATCTAAGACAAAGAGGATAAGACCTAGAGTAAGCCAAGTTGTAGGGGAAGTAGAGTTGTCAAAATGACGTCACGAGAAAGTGAATGTAAAAAGAAAACAGGGCAGGAAATCACTTTCACCTCCCACCCCGTCTGACTCCGGAACTTCACAACTCGTACAGCCAGGTGACGCAACACTGGCACCGCGAGCCAGCTGCCGCGTGGATCTTCTGCCGGTTACTCTCTGGCCCAAAGTACTGGAACCGGCACTCACGGGCATGCCAGTGGGAGGCGTACAGTACAGGGTATGGAGGGGGTCGGTGATAGGTAACACTAGAAACATAGGGATGGTAGTTTGATGGGTAACACTAGAAACATTGGGATGGTAGTTTGATAGGTAACACTAGAAACATTGGGATGGTAGTTTGATAGGTAACACTAGAAACAGGGATGGTAGTTTGATAGGTAACACTAGAAACATAGGGATGGTAGTTTGATAGGTAACACTAGAAACATTGGGATGGTAGTTTGATAGGTAACACTAGAAACATAGGGATGGTAGTTTGATGGGTAACACTAGAAACATTGGGATGGTAGTTTGATAGGTAACACTAGAAACATTGGGATGGTAGTTTGATAGGTAACACTAGAAACAGGGATGGTAGTTTGATAGGTAACACTAGAAACATAGGGATGGTAGTTTGATGGGTAACACTAGAAACATTGGGATGGTAGTTTGATAGGTAACACTAGAAACATTGGGATGGTAGTTTGATAGGTAACACTAGAAACATCGGGATGGTAGTTTGATAGGCAACACTAGAAACATAGGGATGGTAGTTTGATAGGCAACACTAGAAAAATAGGGATGGTAGTTTGATAGGTAACACTAGAAACATAGGGATGGTAGTTTCATAGTGATAAGTAACACTAGAAACATAGGGATGGTAGTTTGATAGGTAACACTAGAAACATAGGGATGGTAGTTTGATAGGTAACACTAGATAAATTGGGGTGGTAGTTTGATAGGTAACACTAGAAACATTGGGATGGTAGTTTGATAGGTAACACTAGAAACATTGGGATGGTAGTTTGATAGGTAACACTAGAAACATTGGGATGGTAGTTTGATAGGTAACACTAGAAACATCGGGATGGTAGTTTGATAGGCAACACTAGAAACAGGGATGGTAGTTTGATAGGTAACACTAGAAACATAGGGATGGTAGTTTGATAGGCAACACTAGAAAAATAGGGATGGTAGTTTGATAGGTAACACTAGAAACATAGGGATGGTAGTTTCATAGTGATAAGTAACACTAGAAACATAGGGATGGTAGTTTGATAAGTAACACTAGAAACATAGGGATGGTAGTTTGATGGGTAATACTAGAAACATCGGGATGGTAGTTTGATAGCTAGCAGAACATGATCTAAAAGTACAGTATACAAAACTGAGAAGTAAACCTAAACGAATTAGCTACAACCGCAGTAGAACTTTACCACCAACTGGACTGAAAGTGGCAACCATCTTATCGTACAAATATTATTTAAGGCCAGCTTCTAACAAGCAAACACAGTCAGGCCTAAGTCAGTGACAACCATCTTATCGTACAAATATTATTTAAGGCCAGCCTCTAACAAGCAAACACAGTCAGGCCTAAGTCAGTGACAACCATCTTATCGTACAAATATTATTTAAGGCCAGCCTCTAACAAGCAAACACAGTCAGACCTAAGTCAGTGACAACCATCTCATACAAATAGTGTTTATGGCCAGCTTCTAACAAGTCATTAGTGAGGTGGTCCTTAAGTCAAGTAAACACAGTGAGGCTAAGTCAGTGACAACCATCTTATACAAATATTTAAGGCCAGCTTCTAACAAGTCATTAGTGAGGTGGTCCTTAAGTCAAGCACACACAGTCAGACCTAAGTCAGTGACAACCATCTTATACAAATATTGTTTATGGCCAGCTTGTTACACGCCATAAGTTGCAAACGATGTCAGGTAAAATCAAATCAATGTTAGATCGATACATATCAGCAATCTAAACGCCTATTCTCTCTGTAATACGCCACGCCAACGCGAGTTTTCTCGGCGTTATTCATTCCCTTACTACGGTTTACAGCATTGAAACAATCGCAATCAATATAGATCATGTCATACTGTGATAAGTAAAAAAAAAACTATTAAGCAGCAGGTACTAATTATAGGTTTGGTTTACTGTTTTTAAATGTGTTAACTGTTCAGCAAAAGGAACAACACTAAAGAAAAAATGTGCAAGGGAAATAACCAAAATAAAGACCGAGACACAACACTTCTCTCCCGTGAACCAGTAAACCATATTTTAAAAACATTTGGGAATGCGCGTGTGTACAGAATAATGCTATGGACATTTCACCCTATTTCTCTTAAAGAGAATGGCGTAACGGTATTGTGAATCACTTAGGTGTTAGAAAAAGTCGCTCTATATGTCCACTGAAATGACAGCTAGTTGTTTTTTTTTAAAGACTAGGAACAAACTACGGTCATGTTTGTGTCAGGAAAACCTCGAGCTGTATGAAGGCATCTCCCCTAGGGTCCAGGTAAATTAAACCAGGCCCCACACGCTCACGCCTCTAGTTAAAAATAAAACTGCCACGACGTATGTGTCACAACTGTCATGTCCCTGTGACAGCTGACACACGATGGAGGTCACCAAACTATCAGGTAACCTTGGGGACAGTGTTCTGGTAGAGGAAACAAGGCAGCACTTAGTGGAGTTATATGACAGGACAACTTAGTGGAGTTATATGACAGGACAACTTAGTGTAGTTATATGACGGGACAGCTTAGTGTCGCGGACAACAATGGTAGACACAAAACAAGGCAGCACTTAGTGTAGTTATATGACAGGACAGCTAAATGCCGCGGAGAACAATGGTAGACACAAAACAAGGCAGCACTTAGTGTAGTTATATGACAGGATAGGACAGCTAAATACCGCGGACAACAATGGAAGAAACAAAACAAGGCAGCACTTAGTGTATATGACAGGACAACTTAGTGTCGCAGACAACAATGGTAGACACAAAACAAGCGCCCCAACAGAAAATGTTTAATAGACAACCTCTTACAGTTTCGGATATAGCTTTAACATAAGGTGTTCAATTGTCCATTCATATCCCCATCTCTTGCTACAACAGAACAGTCGGCTACATTTTTCTATTTTTAGTTAACCAACAAAAAAAATTAAAAATTACTTTAAATACTTCCGTTCACATTTTTTTTTTGGAAAATGCACAGAAGTTTAATTTTTATAATATTTTAAATTCTAGAAAATCAACTGCAATAAAAGTTACATGTGTAATTTTTTTTTCACTTCCCTATTTAGTGCGTGTAAGCCGTCATTGTGTATTAAAAGAGCAGCTGGTGGCATAACAACACACAACGAAAGGTTCTTTAAGACAAATCATCGGCTCAAAATTGATCTTCTACATTGATTCATTATCGATATCAATATTAATGGAATTAAAATTCAACTTTATTCGGAAGAGAGAAAAAAAATCAGAATATATGCATTCGTAAAGAGTAAATATTTGAACCTAGTAGATTTAAACTCAGGTGTCTGAAGGAATTGACGATAAAAACTCACCTGTATAGGAATCAATTCTCTGTTGTTTTAACACAGGGATTCGCGTCTTCTTATCGTAATCCTCATACAAATCTTTATAATCCTCGAACGGCGAGCGGTGGTTCATAAAGGGCGATGACCACAAATCCTGCAAGACATCGTGATGGGTTTCAAACACCTCATCGGTGTCATCCATTTGTCGCCGCCGCCGGACACTAGGGCGCTGGGCTGGTGGGGCAAGCGGCAGGGATCACTGCCATGTACGGCCTGCTGCTGACTCGGGACGCCAGTCAAACCTGTCCGCGCTACCCCAGCTCATGGTTTAGTAAATCCCAGTGAAAAACACATCCACTTTGAACATTCCGAAATACTTCTTCACACACGTCAAACTTCCGTATGACTTTTTTTTTATTGTAAACTTTTGACACACTCGTAAATAGTTCTTGTAATTATTGTGTTTTATCTAATCAAATTTCCGAATACTTGATTAAAAGAAAGTTTCACTTTAACTGGGAACTTGAATACTTTCAGTGTGTAAATAACCAAAAAAATAATCCCTGAACTAAAAAGAATTTCTGAAATATCAAGGCATAAATCCTGAACGGCTATTGATTGAGCGATTCAAAGAAAGCCGCACACGCATATAAACACAGAGTTTTCAATGAACAATCGCAGAGTGGCGGCAATAAGAATATTGGCTTGTGACCAGATTAATGCCGCCCTGTATCAATGATCAGAGGAATCGATAACAGATTAGTTCATATTGATTGATCGGCACCACTTCCCAGCAGGGAGCTGAGGCTCTTTTACTACAGGAAAATATACTAAGCCTGGCAGGTCAACACCATTCAACAATCGCAAGAAAAATATATTTATATAAGCAATACAGAAAACTACTCGGTGGTTGTGGGCTAATACGATTCAACATTCGCAATAAAAAAATATTTGGTACACATGTATATACGCAATACAACAGGGGCCAATAACAAAAAAAATCTCATACACAGAATAGATCCAGGTATAAAATGTAAAAAAAAAAAAAATGCAAGAGTTTTCTAAAGAAGTAGTTCAGGGGAGTTAACAAGACATTTTTTAGATGTAACTGAATACATTAACCATATACATATTTAATTTCAAATTCTCTTCAAGAACGGACCTTGTATCAAGACAGGTTGAAATATAAGACCAGCATTCAAGAGGAGAACACAGCCACTATTTTTTTTATGACGGACAGTTATTCGGACGTGTTTTCTGGTGTGAAGACGGGTATTAGTGCTAAACGTGTGATGCCACGTTAATTATCTCTGTGCATGCATCAAAATTATATGCACAAGCTTCAAACACAATTTAACTTTAAACCCAAGAGGTGCAGATTCCCCCTTCCATTCCTCAAACATTAAAATATACAGTGTATTAGATAAGTAAGAGGTGCTGAATGTATAATCAACTGCACCGTCTGTACAATATATCTATGTTGACGCTACGTGCCCCGAGCTATGATGAACAGTGACACTGGCTTTGGTCCATCTGATAGGTGCATTCAAGACCTTGATGGTCTTGGTTTCAACAATCTCATACCTGAATGGACGCGTCTTTGTAAAGTCACGAGCCGCTAAATCAGAGCCTAGGTACTAATAGTGTACATACTTAAAGTATTGGAGTGGTTTGGATATGAGAGCCGGTACCATTAAGTGCTAAACAAACATAGGTATTGGTATTTATGACGAGGGCAAGGAAAATTTTAAAGTATGGGGTGCATTTATTTGCAGCACATGACTGCATTATATATATATATATATATATATATATATATATATATATATATATATATATATATATATATATATATATATATATATTTACATACATACAGATATATATAAATATATATATACATATATATAATTGGATATATATAGTTACATACATACAGATATATGTATAATGAGATATGTAATTAAGAGCGAGTGGGTTTCGAACATCCGCAACTACTAGCGTTGCAATTATAAGAATTCTCTAATATTTAGATAAACCACGTATAAAGGAACAACTACACAGTCAATTTCAAAGTTGAATACATGCGTGTACAGCACACACAACTTTGTTTACGTGTTACATGAAAATCAACCATGACTAGGCACGCCCAATGTGTTTTGTGTATGGTTATGATAAAAGGCACATAGTCGACGCTTTTCAAATGCATAGTTTAGCGCTAACATACGATTGTGTCGCAGACGTAAAGAAAATGGATATGGTATTTATTTACCCTGATCGAATCATCATTAGTGGAACTTGTTCATAGAACGGTACCTATGGTGGCCTGTGTGGTTGAGTCTGTATCCAAATAATTTTTTTCTATATTTCTGTAGCCTATCTATATTTATATTTCTATCAATGTATCAATCAATGTATCAAACTATGCATCAATCAAGGTATCTATGTATCAATCCATCTATCTCCCTGTGTGTCTGTCTCTTTATACGCATGAATATATATATATATATATATATATATATATATATATATATATATATATATATATATATATGTGTGTGTGTGTGTGTGTGTATTTATATATAAAAAGATACAAAAAAGAAATATATATAGGTTTTTTTTTTAGTAAGCTTGCATGTTTTACGCCTTCTATAATCTCAAACATGCCCCCGTACAATGAACAAACAGCCTTCAAACGGCCATGTGCTAAACATCAACAGCAAAAAACGGCGCTAAAACCACAGGACCCAGTGCCCTAAACAAAACAAAAAAGTCTATGTCTGTCAAACATATGTGCCAACCGAGATCTTGGCCTTTATTTAACTACCTCGTCAACTTACATCATAAAATAAAAACAACTGTAAAACAAATTCAACCACCACTTTGTACCACCAAGGTTACTAGTCCACACACACACGTTAGCGTAGAGAAATGCACAGGAATAATAGCAGCAATGAAAAGGCACAATTGGATAACGCACACAACATTCTTGACACGGCGAACCGCTGGGTCGCCGCACACAGTAATCGGCGGCCTGGTATCGGGCCAGTCAACCTGTTGATGCGCGATAAGGTTACAGTGTCCGCACGATACTTAGCACCATTGTCTGGCACGTGACCGACGACACGTTTTGAAAAAAATCCGATCACAGAGAGAGATAATTTTTTATGGTTCATAAACGGACCGCATCTCAGCATTTTATCACAGGCGGGAGGAAGGTTTAAAAAAAGGTAAAAAATTCCGCTCAGGGGCAGACATGTGATACTAATGATGAAAGGTACACGTGGTTCGAAGTTCAAATCAGCAAGGGAGCACACAAGGAAGACTTAAAACACGGATATTTTGCCACCGTTCATTTTGATTTTGCCTGTATTAGATGCTTTGGTTAAACGGTAATAAATCAATCCTATTTTCGCACAGTGATAATATGATGCGATCAGTAAATTCTACAGTTATATCGTCTCCAAATCGGCCCAACATTGGTTTCAACACAATTCAGTTGTATTCTATACAACATCGAATTCTTTCTTCGTTACTGGGTCCGTTCATTGCTCCTCTATAGATCTACCATTATCCAGCTAATCTCTAATTTACCCAGTATTGTATTGTCTTATCACCCAATGACGTCAGTATCTTGGCAAGGTGACTATTTTCTACCTGCACAATACGCTAAGAAAACATTTCATTCGAGAATCTAAACCTTAAAGTCTAGTACCCAGATTTTATTATGTCCCCAAGAATGTTATAGTCTAGCACCCAGATTTTATTGTGTCCCCCAGAATGTTATAGTCTAGCACCCAGATTTTATTGTGTCCCCCAGAATGTTATAGTCTAGCACCCAGATTTTATTGTGTCCCCCAGAATGTTATAGTCTAGCACCCAGATTTTATTGTGTCCCCCCAGAATGTTATAGTCTATCACCCAGATTTTATTGTGTCCCCCAGAATGTTATAGCCTAGCACCCAGATTTTATTGTGTCCCCCCAGAATGTTATAGTCTAGCACCCAGATTTTATTGTGTCCCCCAGAATGTTATAGTCTAGCACCCAGATTTTAATGTCCTTCCCCCAGGACGTTATAGCCTAGCACCCAGATTTTATTGTGTCCCACAGGACGTTATAGTCTAGCACCCAGATTTTAATGTCCTTCCCCCAGGACGTTATAGCCTAGCACCCAGATTTTATTGTGTCCCACAGGACGTTATAGTCTAGCACCCAGATTTTAATGTCCTTCCCCCAGGACGTTATAGCCTAGCACCCAGATTTTATTGTGTCCCACAGGACGTTATAGTCTAGCACCCAGATTTTAATGTCCTTCCCCCAGGACGTTATAGCCTAGCACCCAGATTTTATTGTGTCCCACAGGACGTTATAGTCTAGCACCCAGATTATATTAGCACCACAGTCACAGTCCTAAAGGACGAGGAAGCACCCAAATTATACTGGTGCCACGGTAAACAATAACACTGAAACCTAGCTGTAACACCCTAGTCCCCACTCCATACCGTGTCAAGTGATATTAAAAACAAAAGTTGTAAATTTGATAGGGTTTTAAATAAGCCGGTCTGGAATCTACCTTACTTAGATAAACAAAACAGATAAACGTATCGTTCTGTTATGTAATTGGTAAACTGATTACAAGCCTGCCTACGTTGCTGACAGGTATATATCAGCTCTAACAATCTCAAACACACCCATCAACATCGACACGTACACTTTCCAGCAGGTTGTTCACTTTGTTACCGTCGTTTGTCTAATTCTCAAAGTAGAACCTGACAAATTCCAGTAAGGAAAACTACACGTTCTGACATGTTAACAACATTAGTTGATGTACCAATCAAAGTAGAACCTGACAAATTCCAGGTATGGACCACTACATGTTAACAACATTAGTTGATGTACCAATCAAAGTAGAACCTGACAAATTCCAGTATGGACAACTACATGTTAACTACATTAGTTGATGTACCAATCAAAGTAGAACCTGACAAATTCCAGTATGGACAACTACATGTTAACTACATTAGTTGATGTACCAATCAAAGCAGAACCTGACAAATTCCGGTATGGACAACTACACTGTCTGACATGTTAACAACATTAGTTGATGTACCAATCAAAGCAGAACCTGACAAATTCCAATATGGACAACTACACTTTCTAGCATGTTTAACTACATTAGTTGATGTACCAATCAAAGTAGAACCTGACAAATTCCAGTATGGACAACTTCACTTTCTAGCATGTTTAACTACATTAGTTGATGTACCAATCAAAGTAGAACCTGACAAATTTTAGTATGGACAACTACATGTTAACAACATTAGTTGATGTACCAATCAAAGTAGAACCTGACAAATTCCAGGTATGGACCACTACATGTTAACAACATTAGTTGATGTACCAATCAAAGTAGAACCTGACAAATTCCAGTATGGACAACTACATGTTAACAACATTAGTTGATGTACCAATCAAAGTAGAACCTGACAAATTCCAGGTATGGACCACTACATGTTAACTACATTAGTTGATGTACCAATCAAAGTAGAACCTGACAAATTCCAGTATGGACAACTACATGTTAACTACATTAGTTGATGTACCAATCAAAGTAGAACCTGACAAATTCCAGGTATGGACCACTACATGTTAACTACATTAGTTGATGTACCAATCAAAGTAGAACCTGACAAATTCCAGTATGGACAACTACATGTTAACAACATTAGTTGATGTACCAATCAAAGTAGAACCTGACAAATTCCAGGTATGGACCACTACATGTTAACTACATTAGTTGATGTACCAATCAAAGTAGAACCTGACAAATTCCAGTATGGACAACTACATGTTAACTACATTAGTTGATGTACCAATCAAAGTAGAACCTGACAAATTCCAGGTATGGACCACTACATGTTAACTACATTAGTTGATGTACCAATCAAAGTAGAACCTGACAAATTCCAGGTGGACCACTACATGTTAACTACATTAGTTGATGTACCAATCAAAGCAGAACCTGACCAAATTCCGGAGCTAGACGACCACATCACAGACTGCCGCTGTCAACACACAAGTCTCTGAAGTCCCCCTCAGCGGTGTGGCCCCACTAAATCCCCTCTAATCCACGGGGACTGTTCCATGTACCGTACAGGTTGTTAGACCTGCAGTGGTGCAGGACGACTGACCAGACTAGCACTGCAGGTATGTCAACTATTTCCTCACCATCGCTAATGATAACGGTGGCAGCGCGGATTGGCGCTAATGTCAGGGAGATGTAATGAGTCATAGTGTTGCCAACTTGTTGAAGGAATGTCTTAAAATATATAAACACACTATGTCCGCCTTCTTTCAAGTGGGAAAATGAGTGCGGTTTATTTAATAAGATAAAACGCTATGGTCAATCGCTATGTTCCCTATACTTAACAAAACACCAATCACAATCTTTCCATATTTGGAAATATATACCGCTGTGTCCCCTATGTGACATAATACCTTACATCTTGATGCCACATATATGACATAATCCCATTGACCGGTGTGCCCCATATGTGACATAATACCAATCATCGTTGTGTCCTCTATGTGACATAATACCACACATCGTTATGTCCCCTATGTGACAATACCACACATCGTTGTGTCCCCTATGTGACATAATACCACACATCGTTGTGTCCCCTGTGTGACATAATACCACACATATATGTGTCCCTATGTGACATAATACTACCCACCGGTGTTCCCTATATTTGACTCGCCAAACACCTTTGCGCCCCCATTATTACCACCACGTCATCTACCGCCGTACCGTTATTGTAAAGTCTTCAACCCGACATGAAAGGTAGCAGGGCTGTATAATTTACACTCTCCTACCCTCGGTCTCACCCTGCAATAAATCTCAGGGACAGCAGCAAGATTAATGAGCCAAGACTCGAGTGCCAGGGGGAGCCACAGAAACGTGACCCTGTTTACACCAGACAAGGGCCCTTACTAACTGGGCCAACCATTCGGGCCAACGATATATGACAGCAGGGAGAAATGGACTTGGTATATCCAATAGCACCGCGAGTCTAGAACTGGGGGATCTCTTGGTGCATTGTTACATAATACAACATCGACACTAGTTTAGGCGGTGGGACCGGTAAGTCAGGTGAAAATATGAGCCAGTAAACCAAACCTTTTTGTGTCAGTCATACAATAATGTCAACAATGTTAACAAAGATCATGAGTTGTATACACATTCGATACTGTATTCATACATTATAAGCTTTTTTCTTTCTTCTATTCATTGGTAGAAACGAAGACTGGTTTATCGAACAATGTGTTAAGACAGCCCTAAGCCCAACATGATAAAAGAGATTTTTTAATTCGTCAAAATATCAAAACATAACCTACGAAGGTCTAAATATAGAAATCGTATTCAATCAGGCAAGGAATGCATAATAGTTATAGGACCAATAGCTAGAATAAGATTTTCTAAGAGAGATTGTGGACTTCTATCAGGGTCAAAAGTTGGTGGTCTGATGACGAAGGCACACGAAGCTCACGCACTAAACTACAGCAACGTTTGCAGGTGGGAAGTGCCGCTCGTGCATGACACGGTACAGCTTTAAGCAATGGCGTAAAAAAAACTTGGCGCCAATCACAGCAACTTCTCAATGAAATTAGAAACTTGCCGAGTATCGCACCCTCTCCAACACCCACCTTTTGTACCACTTGTACTTCTCTCAATGAACTGAAGATAACTCCCGTGTATCGCACCTCCCTCCCCATTTTTTTTGCCACTTATTTGCTTAACAAACGTGTAGTTATGTCCCTTTGAAGACAGCCAATCCCAACAGGGCCAAAGGGTTAAGAACCTTTAGATCTATAGACCAGAACAACATAGATAGCATCTGTTAACATTCTTATAAAACACAACGAGATATTGTTATCCCACTACAACATCCGTTGTCATTAAGACTTTAACAGAAATAC